CTGGTATTATCTGACCCAATGGAGCAATGCTTTCCAAGGCCAAGTGCTCCTGATCCTCTTAGCCCCCTTTTCATCTGAACCGTGACTTTAGGTTTTTCACCTCCCCTGCTAGCCTGGTCCTCTTTGCTTGTTTGGTATATAAATTTCTCTCCTGTGTCAGGAATCCTCTGACTTCACCCCATGGGGTTCTCAGACATTTGCATCCTTTTTTGTAGTCTGGGCATTCTTAGGGTTTAATAGATCTAATCTATAATGATCTGTGTTTACATTAGCTCCTTGCCACATAACTTATTACGTGCAGATGAATGTTGTTAAAAATAAAAGATACTGATTGCGTAAAATGAAGGTGTTTGACTTTACTGAATTTTATAATTACTAAATTTTTATGAGTGTTTTTAAAATAAGAAATCATCTGTTTCTGGTTGATTAATTGCACTTGGGTACTCTGAATTTTTGCTTTCTAGTATCTTTTTGGCACAGCCTTTATCTGGCTATTTCTAAGTTTGTTTTTTTTCTGTTGATGTTTTTAATAATTGTAAATATGAGCAGGGTTAGGTAGAAGATAAAACACCACCACTACCACCAACCCAAATTCTAGTAGGTAACTTCTAAATTTTAAAAATTAAAGAAATATATATACATATGGTAACAAAAAGATTAAAAGTATAACACAAAAAATAATGATTCTCTTACTACTCACCACAATCCCTCTCTGTAGGGGCAACAACTTTCAACAACTTTCTCTGTTTTTATGTCATTTATATATTTCCATATTCTAAATAAAATGAGCATACCATTATCTTCCAAGTCATCAATATTAGGCATTGTCTGTTGACATCGTATTCTGGTAAATATATAGGCTATAGCTTTCTTATGGTACCATTGTTTTCTCTTCCTCATCATTGATTTTTTTTTCACCTTTAAAAATAATTGTGGTAAAATACCCATAGTATAAAATTTACCATTTTAACTATTTTTTATTATACAGTTCAGAGCTATTAAAAACATTCACATTATTGTGCAACCATCACCACCATCCATCCCCATAATTCTTTTCATTTTATAGAGTGAAACCCTTTACCCATTGAACACTCAAGCCCCAATTCTCCCCTCCTGCAGCCCCTGGCAGCCACCATTCTACTTTCTGTCTCTGTGTGTTTGTCTACTCTAAGTACCTCATCTCAGTGGAATCATACAGTATTTGTCTTTTTTTGACTGGCTTATTTCACACAGTGTAATGTCCTCAAGGTTCATCCATGTTGTAGCATGTGACAGGACTTCCTTTCTTCTTAAGGCTGAATAATAATCTATTAATATGTATATCAACATTTTGCTTACCATCATTCATCGATGGTTATCTGGGTTGCTTCCACATTTTATTAATAGCTATTGTGAATAATGCTGCTATGTGCATTGATGTACAAATATCTCTTTGAGACCCTGCTTTCAATTCTTTTGGGTATAAACCCAGAAGTGGAATTGCTGGATCATATGTTAACCATATTTTTAATTTTTTGAGGAACTGCCATATTGTTTTCTACAATGGCTGTACCATCTCATCACTGAATTCTTAGATAAGCAGATATTATTCAGTGTTGACATTATTATGCCTGTCTAAACGTCGACAGCCAAGCACTGAAGTTTACTATAATTTTGGTTCCTCTCTGTTTGTTTTACCTGAAATTAATAATTGTCTTGTTTTTATGTTCTTAGTTTGCTTTGCACCTATTGCTAATTCTTTCCACATTTCCCAATGGCCTGACAGTACGATTTCCCACAAAGTCAATCACATTAAGCAGTTTGTCACTTCTAATGCTTTTACTTGGAGATGTGCTTTGTAGGTCTGCCACACAGTCATTATCCTGGGGATTTTCTGTGCTTTCTTCCTAGTCTGGAATCCCTATTTCCTGGATTTTATGTTTTTTGTTTTTTTCCTATTTTGAGTTATTTTGTTTTGTCAGGGTACATCCTTTGTTAATTTTGTAAAGTTAAAACAAGAAACGTGGCAATTGGAATGGTGATGATACCCCTCATCTGATCCTATTTGGATCTATTACCCTCTTTTCTGAGATTTTTCACCGTTAGCATGGGAGTTGTTAGTTTCTCCCTGTATTGAATCTCTTGTTTTCATGCTTCTCAGAAATATCTTCTCCTTTCTGGATTTACAAACTGAGTTTTGTGGAGGACATCTCTCAGAAGCTTCCTGAAAAATGATGTTTGGGAGGTAATTTTAAAGGCATATTATAAATAGACTTCCATTGTTCTGTAAATGCTTATTCTAATACTGTAATAAGAACTCTGAGAAATATGGAGATATAAAAGACTGCTTCTGACCATAGTGAGTTTATGGAATAGGTGGACAAGAAATCTCTATGGTACAGTTAAAGTAAAATTTAAGAGAGAAATAAGATCACAATCAAAGGGCTTTCCCAGAATACCTGTGATCACTTTCTGTATAAAGAGGCGTACTAACCTTTTATGAACTCAGAGCAAGGAAACCTAATTGGGCTGAGATGTTTTGGAGGAGATAGTCCTTAACCTTTAAAGGATTAGTAGGATTTTGATAAGTGGAGATGGTTGAAAAGACATTTATATGTGGATATAAATTTTTCTATGTGGACATAGTATTAAGAATATTCTTGAAAAAGGAGCATTCCATTTTGACCTGAACAGAGTATCGGAGAAAAGTTAGGGATAAAGCTGGAAAAATAATATAGTGATAGCTTATGGCAGGCACTGAGTCCCAGGAAAACCAATGTGAATTTATTCTCTAGGCAGCCAAACTCTGCTGGAGGTTTTTAATAAGTAAACGCTGAGATGAGGTTGCTGACATTCCAGAATGTCATGTAAACGGAATCATAGTATGTCACTTTTGTATCTGGCTTCTTTCACTTAGCAGAATGCATTTGAGATTCCATCCATGTTGTTTCATCTATCAGTAGTTTGTTTATTTCTATGGCTTAGTAGTATTCCATCATACGTGTGTACTGCAATGTATCTATTTCCCAGTTGATGACATTTGGGTTATTACCAGTTTTGGGCCATTATGAACAACGCTGCTATAAACATTTGCATATGGTTTTTGTGTGGACATATGTTTTCATTTCTCTTGGGTAAATACTTAGGAGTAGGATTGCTGGATTGTATCTTAAGTGCATGGTTAACTTTATTAAAAAATATGCCAAACTTTTTCCAAATGGCTGTACCATTTTCTACTTAAACTTGCAATGTATGAGAGTTGCAGTTAGTCTGCATTCTCACAAACTCTTGGTATCATCATTTTCTTAGAGCCGTTCTAATATGTAGTGGTTCCTCATTGTGGTTTGAATTTACATTTCTCTGATGATTAATGATGCTGAGCATCTTTTTATGTGCTTATTTGTCATCCATATATCTTTTATGATGATGTGTGTCTATTTAAATCTTTTATCCATTTTTTTAAAGAGTGTATTTGTTGATCTGTAAAAAAAGATACCTGTTCGTTATAAATTCAAAAAATGCAAAAAAGTACAAACAGGAAAGTAAACCACCTTAAATCTCAGCACCTGGAAATAACTATTTTGAAAGTAAGCTAACATTCCAGACATTCCTCCTTCTGTATAGCAAAGAGAAGGACAAATGGATGGATGAGTATGTATATGGACACATAGAAAATATGCATAAATGAGATCATATTATGTGTGCTGATTTTCAAATTGTGATGTAGTTCATATACCATGAAATACACCCTTTAAAAAGTGTACAAATAAGTGGTTTTTAGTGTATTTACCATGTTGTGCAAACATCACCACATTCTTAATTTCAGAACATCTTATTGCCACCCCCCTCCAGACCCCACCAGTCATTAGCAGTCATTTTCCATCGCCTCTACTACCCCCGCTCTCCCCCCAGCCCAAAGCTAATCTACCTTCTCTATGGATTTATCTCTTTCAGTGGTATTTCATATAAATGGAATCACACACTATGTGGCTTTTTGTCTGCTTCTTTCAGACAAAAAGAAATGAAGTACCGATACACATTACAACACGCATGAACCCTGTATATATTATAATGTTTTCGACAGGGTTCATCCGTGTTGTAATGTGTATCGGTACTTCATTCCTTTTTATGGCTGAATGATGTTTTCCTGTGTGAATATATCGCATTTTGTTAATCAGTGCCTCTCTCAGTTGATGTCTATTTGGGTTGATTCTACTATTTGGCTATTATAAATAATGCTGCTTAGAAACATTTGTGTACTACAAGTGTTTGTGTGGACATACATTTTTAGTTCTCATGGGTTTCAATACCTAGGAGTGAAATCGCTGGTACCCATTTTTTAAATTGTTTGTCTTTTTATTATGGAGCTTTGAGGTATATAAAGTTTTAGAGGTTGAGTTTCAGAGGTGTGTAAATCATGACACTCCAGGGTAGCTCTGTGTTTCTATTTGAATGTAGATTTAATGAATGGTTTATAAAAGCTTGGTTGTCCAGTGTCTTCCAAATATAATATTATTAAATTAGCTTGAAGAAACAATCTATATTGATCTGAATTGTTTAAAATATATAAAGTAACCCCTTTAAATTATTTTTATTTTATCTTAAATGTTTCTTCAGATTTTACGTCTTCCTAGAATTCATTTAGTCACTCCTTGTATGAATATTTATTGATATTGCCTTGTGAGTGTCAGGAATTATGCTAAAGTATTGAAATAAAATGTATGCGGAATAACTTAACATACAGTTATAAGTTATGAAATGTAGCCATAATTATTTTATGTTACGGTTGTGACTTTGTTAATATTTATATGTCTCTCTCCCTCTTCTCACAATTCACATTACCCCTCCATTAAGGATGGCTCAAGACACACATATAAATAAATCTCCCAGTTTTGTTAGGTACTTAAAAAAAATAAAGGTTCTTTTGAGGCTGTCTGTTCCTTTTTTTCTTGAGGGTGTGCTTGATGTGGACTGTCACACCATAAGTAATGGAGATGTGCCTGTCGTGTTGTTCCTTGCAGCATCGCTGACAGACAGAGTGCCTTGGAGGATGAGCTGAGGACAGTGCAGGCCACTCGCAGGGACCTGGAGAACTTCCTGAAGTGGATACAAGAGGCAGAAACCACAGTTAATGTGCTCGCCGATGCCTCTCAGCGGGAGAGTGCTCGTCAGGACACGGTCTTGGCCAAGGAGCTCACACAGCAGATGCAGGCAAGTGCTCCGCGCGCCACAGCCAGTAGTGCTAGTTATGCTGTGCTTGTTTGATCCAGCTACATGCAAAGTTACTACTATTAAAAGGTGAGCTTGGGGCCGGCGGAGTGGCTCAGTTGGTTAAGAGCTTGCTCAAGAGTTTGAGCTCTGAGCAACAGCCGTTTGATTCCTGGCCTGACCTGGGCTGCTGCTGAGCTGCCAACAGGTGGCAGGATGGCTCAGCTATAAAAACAAAAAATCAAAAAGGTGAGCTTGTCACCTTCTTCTGCTATGGAATCCATGCGCCTCTGTGAATAATTGGTTTCTGGACATAAGATCTATAAAGTATTTTTACTTACTTGAGGAAAAACACCTTATTTGATGGAAGTAATAATTCTTCACTTAGACTTATAGGCTCATAGCTATTCTGTTTTCTGTCATTTTAAGGCCTCTTAGTGTTAGCCATATTGAGTCTTACATTATAAGAACATTTCCTCCTAATATGAAATTGTTTCTTTCTCCATTTACTATAAATGCTTAATATAAAAACTGCAAAGGCTCCACGGGTTAGTTTCCAACTTAGAACATTGGGCTTGAAGGTATTACTTTTATGCGTTCAGCTTGAGAAATATGATGTCTTCAGTCTGAGGCTCAAGTTCCTTCTACACAAAATGTGATAATACAAGATCTTTCCTTTTAAAAACTGTATGAGGACTCTTATGAAGGTAATCTGAATCCTTTTTCTGCCCCTGAGTACAACTGCCCTTGAACTTCCATTTTCTTTGTGCAAAATAACCTACTCTTGCCAATCACAGGCCTTCTCACTTAGAACTTGGTTTAAAATCTGTTTCAAAGGAGAATCCTCCTTGTCTGCCAGGTTCACAACTGATTACTACTTTATGCCGTGTCATTCCCACATCGTTTTGATAGTGATTATTCCTGATATGCTGGTCAACTCATGAGCCATCGTCATCTGATTCGTGTCTCCTCCTGTCCCAGCTGATTACATAGCTCTTCAAGGACAGAGATTTCATTATTTCATATTGTTGCCTACACAGTGCTCTGTCTGCAAACTCTAAGTAAATACCGACTGCTGCCCTTGGACCCTAACTTCGCCATTACGAAATTCAGTGTGATGACCTTTTTTGAATCCTTTCTTAGGAACGCTTTCCCCTGGAAACATGAAAATGTTAAGAAATACATGGATCTGGATAAAAGCGCACAGACACTTTCTTGGAACTGTCTTATTCTTACAAGTTTGCTCTAAGTTTGAAATTGTCTTCATTGAAAAGTTGTATAAAATTTTTGAAAGGACCTTTTTGGAAAAGATTGATTTATAACGTGTTCCCATGCATAAAGACCCCTAGGGTGTTGTATGGTTGACTTCGCAAGATTAATTTAACAAAAATCTGTGTTTCATTACTTCTTATTTCTTATTCATTACATAATATACTTGTGTCTTGTTAATGAGAGTGACCAGGCATTTATCGAAGTTAGATATGTTCTTTTGTCTCACCCTCTACAATCTTATCTGGTTACCATAAATGTTAATTGGTAAAATGTTTAGCTACCACCTCGTTTTTAGGGAGTTAGAGAGGGTCCTAAATGTGAGTAGATGCTAGAATGTATTAATTTTTATGACTTAAACAACTATAAGTCTGACCTACAAATGCTCATGGATACTTAATTTATGTAATGGTGCTAAACTAGTCTATGCATGTGGTAGGTAACAGCTTATAGACTATGAGCAAAGGAGGCTTGAAATAAACTCGATGATGAGCACCAGCAAAACACAGACCTGCCGTAGGGTTTAATAATGTCTTCTGACACATTGGGATATAGTCTTACCATAGCCCAAACTCATCTCAATGTTTAATGAATATTCAAACTGTAGAAATAAATGTAAATGGAGCTGTTTAAAATCTTTCAAAGTAAAAATAACTATGCACAGGATTACTTGTCTTATGGCAACCAGCAACAAGAAAGAAAGGTTTCTTCTGACTAAACTACTAAAATACATTACAAACCTGTATAGTAAATGCTTCTCAAAAATAATTTAATATTGGTAAAATTGTCTGCTTAGCCTGATAGGAAGTATTAAAAAGGGCATTTACATGGGGCCGGCCGAGTGGCTCAGTTGGTTAAGAGCTCGCTCAAGAGTTTGAGCTCTGAGCAACAGCGGTTCGAGTCCAGCCCGAGCTGAGCAACCGCTGAGCTGCCAACAGGTAGCAGCAGGATGGCTCAGCTAAAAAAAAAAAAAAAAGGGCATTTACAAAGAGCTCATTAAAACCTCTTTGTTTAACGACAAACACATGCATTTGTTTATATCGAAGATGCTTCATATTGTGGTAATTTGCATGAGTTTTTGCTCCTTTGCCCTTTTAGTAAATGTTCTTCATTTTAAAACGTTCTGTCCACTTTGTTAAACAAAATTCCTTGGCTTTATATTTGGCAGCTTGTAGGTTGACGGTTGTTAGCGACCTGATAGCTTCTGCTGATAATCAGTACATCTTCTGGCAGTGTGGTGGTAAGAGATGTGGCATAAGGACCTGAGACTGTGTGAGCTCTGTGCACAAGCAGTGCACGTAGAACCGCTTACACGGCACATTCACTGGTTGTCCTTGCTTCATGTCTGATAGCTGGACGCAGGGCCGTGGGAGTATGTCATGCAGATGAAGTTTATTTTGTATTCAGTGCAAGGTGAATTTGGGTACATTTTGATGAAGGAGAGTTTGGAAGCACAATAGAAGATGAAGACTAATTTCGGAGAGTATGCTATGATACATGTCATTTCTGTTAAGGATGGGTGATCATTTGGGTTTAGGTATTTTTGTTTCATGGCCCTGCTGCAAGACAGTTATTCATAGTTTGACTCCTCTGTAGAGGGCTATTGGCAAGAGAAAGCCTGATCCTTAGGAGGTTTTCAGGAGAGTGACGCTCCTGGGAGCTGAGCGGTGCAGACTGTAGAGGGTCTTGTGTGACTTGTTAAGTATTTTGCATTTTAACCTGGTGGCAATGGGGAGATGTCATTAAAGGACGTTAAGTAAGAGAGAGATGCCATGGGATTTGCATTTTATAGGAAGCTGGCTGATAGTATTATGAGAATTGGGTTTGAAATGGGCATGACTGACAGCAGAGCAGTCCGTTAGGATATGCTTGCAGCCATCTGGTCAGGGGTGAAAATGACCAGGAATGAGGCAGTGGCGGAGGAGTCGATCTAATAATTTGATAGTATGGTTCCAGTAAGGGAAGTGAGAGAGGTAGAGAAAAAGATGATTGCCAGGTGGTCTGAGAGCCTGAGATTGGGAATATAGGAAAAGAAAATGGTAGGACAGCAGTACAAGTTAATGGGATGTGTGATGGGCTGGTACAGTTCACTTTGACTATGTTGAAATGAGGCATTTGAGTAACATCCAGGAGGAGATGCCTGGTATGCAGTTGTCACTGTGGATCTGTATTCAGATGAGAGACTTTGGCCAAAGATAAAGAAACTTTTTTTTTTTCTTTTGGATGTAAGTCTATTATTGACTTCCCAGTTTATCTATTAATTCAAATGAATTTATTCTTAATTTGCATGCCCACATTCTAACATAGTATCATTTTAATTATTATTTTTTTTAATGCGAGCTTTATATTTTAGCATTACCAGTGAACTGAAATGTTGTCGTTCTCTCCTGGGTGAAAACCTGCCGCCCACTGCCTTTCCGGGGGGTTATTATAATAGGTGGCTGATTTTGTTCTCTAACAACATGTGTTTGGGGCTTATTTTCACCTTCTGTGTTCTCTTTCAGCCTAATTTTCACCCTGTTGTTCCACAGGTGCAGACTTTGATTGTTTAGATTGTTTCAAATCTTCCACTGCACCCGGCTCCATTCCCCGTGTCGTGTTTAGGGAGGAATACCTGTATCGTGGAAACTTCCTCTGTTGGTGCAGAGACAGCAATTACAACTTCACATATTTTTGATATTAGCTTTATTGACATATAATTCCTGTACCATGCAATTCATCTACTTAAAATGTACAATTGCATTGCTTTTAGTATATTTGGCATTGTGCAACTGTCATCACAATCGCATTAGAACACTTTCATCACCCCAAAACGAAACCCTGTGCTCCTTAGCTGTCAATCTCCCACTGCCACCTCTCTAATCTCCCCACTTCTCAATGATCACTGAGCTATTTTCTGTGTCTGTGTATTTGCCTAGAAACGTAATATTTGAGTTACACCATCAATTGACTACTGCTTCCAAGTTTGCCTTTGTATAGGTATTTTGACATTGTTAGCCTCTCCAGAAGGAGGCAGTATATGTTCTCACTAAAGATCTACAGGGGGAAAAAATACACAAGCAGAAGCCCACAAAAACACTGCTTGATAAACACAACTCTGTAAGACCCAACAGAGGACTTCAAATCCTGCTAAAGTGAAGGACTGAGAAGGCAGATGAAACAGAAGAGAAAGAAATACTTTAAAATCCTGCGTTTCTTTTAAAGAATCATGACAATGGTACAGAAAGGTGACTCTTCGGGTTATTATGAATAGTTTGAGCCAGGACACTGATAATGAGAAGTGTCTGGGTTCTATTTTTGGCTGTGCCCTTTGACCCAATCGTTTAATCATTCTGGGTAATTTTGCTGATTTCCTAATCCTACTTCACTCCAGTTGGTATTTGCAATGGTATCAAGCTGCAGTAGAAGATAACATCTCAAAGTGTCCACATGCGTATAAAACTCAAAAATTCTGTGCTTGGTCTTTTACCTCATATAATCAATCATGTCTTATATTTCTTACTCATTACATGAAAACAGCGTTCTGACAAATGTTGTAAAATGAGATCATGAAGATGCTGTCTAAAGGGAAATGTCATTTGGACTGTTTATTAGTCAATTACAGACTTTTTTTTAAATTAGTGTTTTCATGAGACGAGTCCTAACCTAATGTTAGAAATTTGATTTCTAATGACTTTCCTCCTAAGGCCGGCATCTGCATCTGTGAGCCCAGGGACCACTCTGCTTTCAGGGTG